ATTGTGTTTTATTTCATTCCTATTTGCAATCTCTTTCAGGTACACTGTTATAATCTGTTAGAGTAGTTTTACAGGTACACTGTTAAAACCTGGTAAGTTAGTTTGCAGGTACACTGTTGAAAACTGGTAAGACATTTTAGGTCTGAGATATATGATTGACACTTTGTATGATTTTATTACTTGTTCTCTTTCAGGAATAAACATACTTTATTTTCCCGTAGGAATATCCTCGATATTCGGAAATTAACTTGTATTTTTTTTCTTGTATCTATTTCTTATTTACAGGTCTCAGCGACTTAGGAAATTTCCGAAATAAATATTTCGAATTTCCTCTATAACAATTTTTACAGTGTAATACTTATACATTTTATTGTTGATATTGCCGAATGGCACTATACTAGACAGATCCCAGCTGGTTTCAGGGTCCTATCACTGTTCCTTCCTACCTATCAATTTTGACAGCTGGGTTTCTCTATGTTTACTAATATCAAATTTACATATAAATTTGTGTATTGTTGTTTAATCTAATACGTTTCTTCATTACAGATTCTTAGGTTAAACTAATCGTATAATTATCCTCCAGACTTAAGGTCTGGAGCTAATTATAGTTCCTTTCAGATTCTTAGATTTAACACCCTAATTGTTACTCTATTTATCTATATTTTGCAATAAACGAAGCATTTTAGTGTTCTTATTAAGGCAGATTTATTCCACAGCTAAAGGTGTCCACAGCAATCCACTATGGCCACCGACCGAGATCCCTATTCTCTTAGGTCCTTAGCAACGGAAAGAGCGTGTACGGAGCCTGGTCTCACGCCCACAAGGCAAGAGGCTCATTCACGTTACCGACACTATCATATTATCTTCAATATTCTTTTGGGTCTTTTCTATATACAGTTAGCTGCTGTCTGAGTTGACTCTGCGCTATCCTCTGGTTTTCGTCTGTCCGTGACACATACTATGTTAGATTGCAGTAGATGAATAGTGGAAAGGAACATAATGAAGAGAAAGACATATGTGAATTTTGTTACAGTGAGAGAAATTATTAAGAGAATGATTGAAAATAAATCAGATTGGACTAAAATACACAGCTATACCTATCCGTGCAATGATCAAGAAAAAGAAAGAGGAAGAAAGACAGCTTCGGCATGCAACGGCCGTACTAGGAGCGATAAGGATCCTCTACGCGTTACCTGGAACAAGACAGGGAGCCTCCTTCCTGATGAATAGAGTGTGGATGTGTATGAATTAAGAATGAATAAATAAAGGATATTGCTTCGGAACTGATGCCGGCCTTACAGTGGCCATTTCGCTTCCGGATCGTTGTAGGTAGGCGTTCGGCGTAGACTCGGCAACGAGAGGGCATTTTAAAGTACCTCGGGAACTATCACCAGGAGTACGAAGAACGAATCCTGCACTAAGGTCAGTCAGGCAGCGTCTTGGACTGAGATGTCTTTTGACGATTCCAGACCCCCCTCTATAAAGACGAAAAAAAAAATGTTAGTGTTGGCAAAATTATACAGTTTGCCCTTCTAATATTCAGACATATAGTATAAATTTTAAAGGAGTCGACGTTAAAATGATATTGCCAATATTCTTGAGTCGCGTTCCTGAGACGACTTTATTGTAAGGTACGTTATTCGATTACATAAAATCAACGTAAACTTAAAATATCTTAAAAAAAATGAAAAAAGTCACAAAACAATGGAGGAGGTAATTTTCATAACCCCACATTTGCTATTTTTTCAGGAGAGTAAAAAAACCGATTCATCTACATTATTTCACCAAAACATATTTTAAGTAATATAAGTAGTTATAGTTCAGTATTGGTTTATGAGCTAAGAAAACTACTTACTTGTGTAGAAAGTGGTATAACAAATTAAAAATATAATATAAAAGTTGTTAGATGTGGGGTTATGCATGAAACACATGTCACATGTGGGGTTATGAACATAACAGGTTTGGATATGTGGTGTTTTGATCAAATCAATTTACTATAGTTTAGCATAAGATTATTTATTTTAGTGTAGGATTGGACTCAGTATTGGACAAACTAGTAAGCAAAGTAAAAAATATGTTCTTCACAATATGAAAAATAAAATTTTATTTATTATAATAAAATAGTTATCCTTTTTCACAATATTACAGTGAAACCTTATGCTATAACATATGGAATAAAACTTTTAGATAATAGTCTAGGTATTACAAGTGATGGGCACTGTCTTCTTCTAAACAGTTACAAACAATTTCCTCCTGTGCTTCAGGTCCATCTTCATTTGGAGCAACAATAATGTTTTTGTACCAAAGAAGGCTTTCAATGTCTTGCCAGTTTGCATCAAAAAGAATAGTTAACAGTTCGTTCACATCCTTCTTTTTTGCTGCGCTTACGGGATGAACTAAATGAATTTTTTTCAGTAGGATTTTCCAGTATTTTTTCCAAGTCGTGTGTTGTTTTAGAAGGCTGTTTTTGTGTAGCCCTGGTTCAAACCGATATAATTCATTGCCTTTAATCCATACCTGTAATTTTTTCATTGTCACAACTTTTTCACCAAAAATTCTTTTTGTGTCACTAATTTTAGGTAAGTGTTTTAATTAATTATTAGCAAGTGACTTTATTGAAACGGTAGACAAATACATATATCTGGGCCACGAAATACAAATAAGTAGAGACAACCAAACATGCGAATTATCTAGAAGAATAGCTTTAGGATGGGCAGCCTATGGCAAGCTAAAAGACGTGTTTAAGGAAAACATCCCAATAAAGCTAAAGAGAAAAGCATTTAACCAGTGCGTACTTCCGGTGCTCACTTGGAAAGATTGGAAAAAAATGGAAAGATCTATGCTTGGCGTAACTTTGAGAGACCGAATACGAAATGATGAGATACGGCGAAGAACTGGAGTGGAAGACGTCATAAAACGGATTACGAAGTTGAAGTGGAAATGGTCAGGACACGTCGCAAGACAGAGAGACAACAGACGGACAAAGAAGATTTTAGAATGGCGGCCAAGGGCCGACAAGCGAAATCGTGGAAGACCACCTACCAGATGGACGGACGACATTAAGAGAATAGTGACAAACTGGATCGCAGCTGCACAGGACAGAGAAGAGTGGAGACATCTTGAGGAGGCCTATGTTCGACAGTGGACAAAATTTGGCTGTGTGATGAAGTGACTTTACATCCTTCAGAGACCAATCTGTTCCAAGTACCTTCACAGTTCCAACTTTTTTATATTCTTCAAGGTACTCTTCTTTATCAATAAGAGTAGGTTTCTTCCGCAACAATTTCTCGGCTCTTCCAAAAACCTTATTGGCTGGTAAAAAAGAATAGCCCCTGACCATTATCTGTGTATTGTGCCTTCGTGGGCACAATAATAAATTGTGTAATTAATAGTAATCTGTGTCAAGGTGCCTTCGTGGGCTGCTTATAAAAAGTTTATTAAAGTATGAAGCACATGATTGTTTTTGTTCTGACCTGTACATCTATCACAAAATAATCCCAGATGGGTCACATCTGTAAGGTCATCTGATTGAAGATAACTAAAAAGAGCAGAAGCTACTTCGGTTGAACCGCGCGCCCTTCTTGCTCTTCGGTCGAGATATACAAGTATGGGGCGTTGTCATTTTTAATATCTGTCTGTCATAGAAACACTTTGCCCTTTTCTTGTGTTTTTTAATTTTATAGTTTATCATGGCACAGTACCCACAGACGTCAGATGCTGGAGATTTGAAACCAACATTAAACTCTCCGCGGAATATTTTACGAACCTTTGATAACTTTACTTGGAGTTGGGGATTTTCTGCACTAGCATTATAAATCATGTGAAGTTTTCGCCATTGAAAGATCACTACTTAAATATACTCTTTTTAATTTGTTGCGGTGGTAGTCATTTTCAGTACCTTTTAAATTTCCAATAAACTGTCGAACCGCCTCCTTCTTAACCAGTGATCTTTAGCTTATTCTATCACCTCGTCTGTTTTCTTCTAGTCCTTTGTTAGTTTTTAATTTTGATACAAGTCGTCGAACTCTTTTTGATGTAAACTGAGTAAGGCACAAAAAGAAAGATTTACACACAGTTACGCTACCCCCAGAAGTAAGTGAAAATCGGTAGGTAACGGAAGTCGATTTTGGTTTGGATTTTGCTTGTTGTAAACCTAGGCACAAGCAAGATTCTCGGGACCTCCGACGTTGAACGTTTTTTGTTATTATGAACCTCCCAACTAATTGGTCCTGAAGAAATTTTTTGATTTCGAATAAAGTGTCTTCCGAAATGCACCGGCATCACTAGGCCGAACTTCACAACATATAAAGGCTTTACCTTTATGTTAGCGATCTATGAACACACAACCACCAGCAGGAGCAGCGTATCTCTTTTCCTTAAGAAGCTGACGCTTTGTAACTGTCTTTTGTCTTTTTCATGATCCAGAACATATTCTTCCAACTAATACTAATTCACTATCTAAATTACCTTAATTTAAACTCATAATTTCACTCAATTAAGCACAAACCAACATTAAATTATAATTTTTCCCTGAAACTAACCTGTTAAGATTGTGCACTGTCAACAATAACAATCAAATCAAAACCATTTATTTAAGTCACGTGATTGGAATACTTACCCCTCTAAGAAAATGTGGGGTTTTGCTTTAAACATCTACTTTTAAATTTATATTACAACTGGAAATATGGGTTTTGATCGGTAATAAACATGACAGGCAAGCCATATTAAAATGACGAATTAGAAACATCACTTACTAAAAAATAATGTTTTTGGACACGTGGGGTTATGAAAATTGCCTCCTCAATAATTGGAATGTTTAATAAAAAAATTGTATTAATTTAAAAACAATGATTCTAGATGACTTTATATCTCGTCAAGTAAAACATCTGTTTTATTATTGAGATACAGATTTTATTTTAGATAAGATTATTTTTCTCATAATCTTATCTGCCGTACCATATCAACGATAATGATAAACTATTATATGACCACTTATTTAACTAGGCCTGACCTGCGAACATTTAGCGAAATCACATTGTTCTTAAATAAGCAGGTTATCCATTGAGACGTAGCAATTGACGTTAAACTTACGCTGTGGGTATTGTTTGTCGAAGAGTATGACGACGAAAAGTCTGAAGAATCTTTCTGAAGTGTCTAAAGAAGAGCAGCAAACATTTATTGATAGTTTTGATTATGTTTTGACAGATTTAGATGGTAAGTAAAAAAACTTTATATTATACATAAAATATTAGTCATACATAATATATTTCTAGATATTCAAATTTTACCAAATGTATTATAATTTACTACTCTCCAAAATTAACGCACCAGCTCAACTGGACCATGATTTTGAAACTATATTTCTTCTAAACCCTTAATTGGATTTTGATAATTTTTTTAAAATTTTAGGTATATTTTTAATTAATTACTATATTAATATTTTCTGAGAAATGTCAACGTTTTATCTATATACTAGGTGTAAAAATAAAGTTGTGTTTTTTAATCTAATTTTGCAACACCCTTCGGAATGTATTAGAAATCTTATTAATATTTCGAAATCTTCACCTTAACATTTCTGTAAATAAATCATCTGGATATCTCTATTATTGTAAAACAAAAGTACGTTCAAAGCATTACGTGATTTTCTACTCTCCAAAATTAACGCACCACCTCGACTATACTATGATTTTTAATGTATTTTCCTTTTGAATTCTTAATGGGATTTCCATGATTTTTTTCGTATTGCATTGCGTCTATTTCTAGATAATTACTGTTAATGTTGCCCAAATGCAAGAAACAGACGAGACTTGGACAGTCTTGGTCATGGTCTTGCGCCAATACACCTAGTCTTGGTCTTGGTCTTGGTATTGCACTCTTGGTCTTGGTCTTGCAAGTCTCGCAGTTACCTATTTGCCTATTGCTATTTATTAAACATTACTTTAGATCTTAGAACAACGTAACAGAATAGGTACATTTTAAGCTTGAATTAACATAACCATAATAAAGACCAACCAAATTAATAAATGTCTAAACAACTGACAACGGGTGGGATTTGAACCCACGATCTAAGCGATCCGTGCCTATGCTTTAACTAACTCAACTATCTACCATGCCCCACGGGAGTCAATCTGTTTCTTAATAAACGTTTGTATTTAATAAGCTTAGATGTGCTAAAACATGATTAAAACACAAAAGAACCAAATTAATGACATAAACTTGATTGTATTTTAAAGAACATTATCTGTCTAGAAAGGGATTGATGGACCCTGGACCCCCACCATACATGAAATGGAAATCTTAAAAAGATTGGTATGTGGCAAAAAATCCACATACATGTATCAAGCGAACAGATTCTTTATGTGATAAGATAACAAACTATAATCCACTTAATAAAGCAAAATAAATGTTGTTAACAATATTAGCTCTACTTTTATAAAAAAAAAACTAACTTGAAAAAATAAAGAATAAGTAAAAAATCAATGATAATCAAAAGAAGTTATTTTAAATTAACGAAATACCTACTTAATAAATACATTAATTTACCAAAATAAAGTAGTAGGTACATAATATATGTAATTGTGTAATAAGTGTATTTTTTCTTACATGTTCACTTTTTCCAGCGATTATTAAAAAGCTTGTGATATCTCCACCGAATTTTGGTTTTTCAGGAAGAAATATTTGTGATTCCTTTTTGTGGAAAGATATTAGATGCTTCCTTAAACCTGACGTGTTTCTGTTTTTTATTTTTATTTCAACCTTTCTATGTTGGCACAATTTACACAAAGCAATTTGGGATGCATGAATTACTTCGAAAAACTCATCAAATTTGCTTTTAGGTCTTTTAGATCTATAACTTCAACTCTCATTACTCCGACTAGAACTATTTGAATCTTCGTCCCTCATGTCAAATTGTAAACTTGTCACTCCGGGAACAATAAGATTAGATGAAAAACAATTATTACATTAGACTCGAAGGAAAGCTCAATTGGGAATGAAGTTTAGTGATGTCGAAAAAGTAACTACTATTCGTTACTATCCAATACCCTAAGTACCGAATAACAAACCGAGAATTATATATAATTATACTACTTCGTTACTCTAAATATTTCGGTATTTTGTTTACACGGTAGCCGACATTATCTGTTATTAATTATTTTTCTCATTACTTTTGAATATTAGCCGCGCTCGTTCAGCAAATTTTCTTCTTCATATTCATGTGACTAGGATTACTCCTGTTTGTCCACATCTTATTCTGTTTCAGTCGTTGTTGACTGTACACTATCTTTCCATCTTTTTGGCGGCCTTCCAACTTGTCTTCTGCTATGCGGTTTGTTGTTTTTACAGATGTTCGCTAATCTATCTGGTCCCATTCGGTTTACATGTTCGTTCCAGTTTTTTTCTTGTTTTTGGCGACCTGTTAATATTTTGTTTAACTGAATGAACTCATTGCACAGCAGAAAGGACGTTTAGTCTTAGACCGATAAGATTTGTTTATTTAGATTCCTCAACCAAATTATAATAGGAAAAAATTTAAATTATTAATTGGGTGTCATTAACAATAAGTATTATATTTTTTATCAGCTAAGGTGACATATTTTTAAAAAGTTTAGATACGATATTACTGTCGGCGTCGCAATATAAGAAGATTATTTATGGTTAGAGGGCGGCTATACTCAAAATCTGGACAATTAATTTCAAAGCGAAGAAGTCGTCTACTGGGAAAGAATGTACAAAATATTTTATTTTTGCATTGTAATTATGACCTCTGAGCATGTGTCAAATATGTTAAGCGTTCTTTTGAAAAATATCTTTATTCGGTATGTATGTTTATGCATTTTTTTTTGCGTCTCATAGAGTCTGTAAACATATACCCGATTTACTATACCCCTAAAACGACACTCAGTTCTAACTGCAAGACGCAAGAATTTCGCAGGCTCAGTCTTGTTCTTGCTTAAATCTTACAGGGCCGGTCTTGGTCTTAGTCTTGCTCATAGATTAGAGGAGGGATAGATAACCAACTTCTGTACAAAAAAATGTTGTGATCATCAGCGCCACGTTGGAGTGTTCTGGTACTAATCAATATTTTTATCATGTTGGAGAGCTTGCTAATTGACAAACGCCTTGTGTAGTTGGTAATATTGTAAAGTTGGTAATATTGAGAGAACTCTAATCCTGTTTATATATTCGAATAAATGTGACAAATTAGTTCTGAAAGTTTTCAGAGACATTAAATTAGACCAATAATTTTCATTTAATCAAACTCAAAACATGTAGTAATTAATACATAATATTAAATTAATATGCTATGAGAGTAGGAATCATAGAAGCCTGTACTAACTTCTAACTTAACTTAAAAAAAAAACAAATATCCTTATACCACGCCTTAACTAAACAATTAATATTCTAATCCTAAATACGATATTCCTTGATCTAACAGCACTTTTAACTAAAACACAAAAAACAAATATTGAATTAATACTTAATCATCAACATCAATTAATATTCGACATTCGAGAATTATGACAATAACATTCGACAGACGCCAGTTATGAAGACATCGCTATTTTAGCACAAAACATTAATAATGTTTTGTGATCTACAGAATCTACCGATAATAGCGCTTGGTGGTGTGTTCTGTAACTAATTCAATGATTACATTTTACGGATTGAAGTTGAACCCCCTGGTCTTGCTAAAATAAGGCGGTCTTGGTCTTGGTCTTGCGAAAATGCAAGAACAAGACCAAGACTGCAAGACCAAGACCGATTTTGGACAACACTAATTACTGTATTTCAAGCAAGGAAATTTCAAGTTTTTACCCATATACGGAGTGTAAAAATAAAGTTGTTTTTTCATCTTATTTTGCAACATCCTGTAGAATTTATTAGAAGCACTACATCTAATTAATATTTCGAGAAAGCTTCATTTCTTTTAGATATCATAGAAATATCATAATATCATATCATAAAAAAATCAAAGATATATTTATTATCAAAAAAGAAAAGTACGTTCAAAGCATAACGTGATTTTATTGAAATTGTAATACTCATGAAATTTGACTGGACAGTTTCAAACTGTCAATATTGTTTACAATTCAATAAATTGTTTTGCTGTTTTGCGTATGTTGGTTAGTTGACATGGACCGTATTTCAAGAAATCTAAAAGTGGTTAACTTAGAAAGAAGTTAAGTTAAATCTCTGAAAACCTGATGTAGGTTTAAGTTATAGTGAAATAGGACTGAAGTTAAGAGTATCTCATACTACAATATTACGAGTCATTAAACATTTTCGAGAAACAAATGACCATATGATACGATACATATGAATTAGGCTTTGTGCTATAAGAGAACGTTTTGTCACAATGTGACAAGTTAGTAGAAACACTATACAAAGGCGTCTCGATGTGCTAGTTCTGCTTGTTAGGATACCAGTAAGAGCACCAGCTTTAAACGTAACTCATCGTATACGTATGTTACCCTTTGCCAGAGAGCAGCTTAACTGGAATGTTAATGACTGGGAGCACTTCGTGTTGTTCACTGATGAGTCGAGGTATTGCGTATATAGTTCAGATAGATGTGTGAGAGTTATTCGAAGGCCAAGAGAACGCTATGCTCAGTGCAACATATGACCTATTACTTTGTTCAATGGATAATCTGTAATGGTTTAGGGATAAACATTTCTTAAAGCGCGAACGGACCTTGTTGCTTTACGAAATGGTTCCTTAACAAGTTAAGGGTATCATCATCATCAACTAGCCTCTAACATCCACTGCTGAACATAGGCCTCTCGCATGCTTTTCCACTTTTTTTTATCTAACCATGTAGTTCCATTTGCTCCTTACATAGGAAATAATGTTCTTTTATTGCATGATATTGTTCGACCATTTGTTACACGTGTGGTCCGTGATTATTTAAACGAGGTTGGAAAACAATCTATAAACTGGCCACCCTGTAGCTCTGATCTAATAATACTTTAATATTTCGCCTGGTATTAGATCAAACCATGGAGCTTGTGTGGGATCGATATTCCCTTTTATTTTTTTTCGAAATTTATTTCGTATTAGTAGATTTAATTTCCACGAGATCTGGTTCAAAACTATTTACGTTGGTTCAAGTCATTTCTTTTTTTTTGTTGAAACGTGTTTTCGAGATGAGGTGATAAGCGGCTGGCTTTTTGACCATTGGTTCTAGCCCAGCTTCCATCAGCGTTTCTGATTGGTGAGCTATGTAGTATAGGTCTTTTAAGCCGTTTGGTGGCCTTCCTCATAGACTATTCACTTCTTGTTTCAGCTTTTAACTCGCTAAGGTCGGTTCCAATCGATTCATTCTTGATACGTATTTCTTCCTTAAGATCTTTTTGTGTTGGCAAAAATGTAATTAGGTTTACTTAAAAAAACGTGCGTTCTCAATCGTTAAGTAAAGTTACATGAGGCTGTGGCCACAAAAGAACTCGTGTTTAGCTATCTTAGAGAGCTTTGATATTTTAAAAATGGGAAAAGATCACTTAATATTTTTTTCGTTATTAGTTTCGGAGGCTGTCATGTCACTAATTATTTAGGTTTTAAAATTTATACTTTGGTGAGAGTTTAACACGGATTTCCTTCACTTTAAGGAAGAATAGTGGTTCTTTAACCAATAAGGCTACATATCAGCTTTCCCTGAGACTACAGTCTACAAGCAAGAATAGATTAGTAATTAAAATTTGAGAAAAATTAAATCTAATTAACTCTTCTTAGAATATTATTCGAGATTTTATTTTTGTTGTAGGCGTGTTGTGGTTGTTATGGAAACCATTCCCGGATGCTGTAGAATGCATTGATAATCTTAGAAAGTTAAGAAAACAAATTGGCTTTATAACAAATTACACAGGTGCACCTGTACCTGTTTTATTCGAAAGACTGCAGAACAATAAACTATCACAAAATATAGAAGAAATGGTTAATCCTTATATGGCGGTAACAGCTCATTTAAAAAAGATAAACTTTCAGAAGAAACTGTATGTGGTAGGTAGTAAACAGTATAAAGAACAATTAAGAAAGGATGGATTTAATGTTGCTGACGACCCTGTAAGTATATTATTATATTTTATGCTTTACTCTTTCAGCTTTTCTAAATTTGTTTTCGTATATTTACATTTTTCTTAGTTGTTTCATTTCTTTTGGTCTTTATTATTTATTACCTAGACAACATTTTTTAGACAGTTTCTCTGTATATAGCTTTATTTATTTATATATATTTTTTAGACTTCCTTCCAAGTTTTACAATAAGAGTATCTCTAATAATACGTTTCTTTCTGCTAAAATGTAACTGTATATCCTAATTCAGCATATAGAGATTCTCCCTTACTTTTCGCCCAACTTAAGGTGCATACGTGCACACGCACACACACACACACACACACACCCACACACACAATAAAGTAAATCCCAACTCCAGGGGACACGAGATTCCCGGAGTAAAGTGTTCTTATGTCCATAGATCAAAGATGTCACTTCTCGTACAGACGGTACCTGCCTGACCCCCAAGTTACATCCCTTTCTCCCCAATCTTAGACGTAAGGTTGGGGAGGCTTTACTAGTTTTTAAATCTTGAATGAGACACATACACACACAAACACACACACATACACACCACACACACTCACACACACATACACACCACACACACACACCCACACACACGCAAATACATTATATTCAGAACTCAAGCACAAATTTTAATAATATTATCCTGTCACTCGTTCTTAAACCTTTTCTAATACCACATTCTCATTAATTTCTCTACAAGCAGTTATTATACCGACTAAAATTTTAAAGCAACTTTTGGTAGTATTACAATATTTATCGCTCGTAACAATAAAGATATGTAGTTTTTAAAGCTGAATTTACATCCAAAAAATTACCGGAAATTTCATAAGATTGTTCTTTTTTTATGCTAACATTGACTTTCCTAAAAGCTAGCTAGATGACATCGCATTTTTTATTCACGTATTCTTCTTAAAAATACGCGGCATATTTTATTATAAAATTTACAACTGACCGTACAAATTAATATGCCGAAAGGTGGCGCCAGTGACGGAATGATTTTTGCTTTTTCGAAATCTATTTTGTGTCATGTGTGAATATGATCTTATACTAGGGCTAAAGTAGGAACGGAATGTTTTACAGATATAGAAGATAGAGATATAGTTATGAATTCGTCGGTTTGTCTATCCTATCCATCTACGAGGACAATTGGAACAAGGTATCTCGTAGACACCATAATCTTCATTGTGGATTTGGTATGTTACGGATCTGATGAGATTGGACAACTTGGAGTGAGTAGTGAATATGGTTTTGATGTTTAGAGGGTTAAGATTTCTACTGATCTTGTCAGTGACACCTTTGATAAAAGGTAGAAAGATTTTGGGTTGATCAGGCGTCAAGGTTTCTTTTTTAGATAGGGTTTAGATATTTTTGGAATGCTGCTATTAATTTGGGTTTTGTGGTAGCCGTTTTGTAAGAGTGTTTTCCCTACTGAATTGATTTCGGATGATCTGTGATTGTCGTCGCTAAGTCTTATGGAACGGGAAACGAGATTGTTGATAGCTGAATTGAGTTGTACGGGGTGATGATGTAACTGTGCATTAAGATATCGGTTTGTATGGCTGGGTTTCTAGTACATGGAATATAAAAAGAAAATAGTTTCAAAATCATGTTAGCAAGTGCCTAATTTTCTTTGCGAACATATCCTTGTGCAGAAATCGCTAAGTTAGTTCTACATGCTACTATTCAGTCATATATGCGAGGTCTTTAGTTTGAAATAGATCGTCTGTATGTGACGGGCATATAAATATGTACATAAAATGCCCCTCTTAATATATCCATCCGAGTCGCCAAGTGACGATATAAACAAATATATAACATTTTTTACACAAACAAATGTAATATTTTTTAACATGATTATCTAGTTGCAACTTTTACTTTAAAAATTAATCATACAATAATGTAACATAATACTTAAATTTGTGTAAGAATAAATATAAAAGCTTCATAATTTTTAGCCGCAAGAGATAGAAGAAACTGTGAAAGGCATATTTGAGAACATTCAGGATGACGAAGAGATCGGAGCTGTTCTTTACGATTTTGACATAAATTTAACTTATATGAAGCTGCAAAAAGCTCTAACTTACTTAAAAAGAAAAGATTGTTTATTTTTTGTAGCAGCAGCTGACAAAACTCTCCCCGTGGGACCATTAGGACCATTAATAGGTAATATATTGTTTTCTAGATTGGGTTAATTATCATGAATATATATATAATATATATATATATATATATATATATATATATATTATATATATATATATATATATATATATATATATATATATGATCACTCAGAAGAGTGGTGGGTTCTTATATCGGTCTCAAGGTGAAGAAATAAAAGACAAAGTTGATAGGCTACTTTATCTATTTTGAAGACGTTTCGCTTTCGTATTCTGAAAGCATCATCAGTTCATCTAAAAAGTACAATATGAGAACCACACAATCATGGAAAAGATGTTATAAGTGTTACCTTAAAAAGACATGTAGCAGTCAAAGATATTAACAAGTTTGTGAATAAAACTCAAGTAAATGGACATTATACGGTAGTATTGTATAAACAATCAATTAACTAACAACATTTAGCAACTTATTAAAAAATTAGCACAGCAACTGACCATGTGGTCTAAAGTATAAGTAATATTTTATTTTATCTTAAGTAGTGAAAAGAACCAAGAAAATCATAGATTTACTTCCAACTATTTGATAATTATTTAGCTTTGATTTTAACTTTAGGTAGCATTATTAAAGTGATGTTTAATAAAAAATTATTTTAAAAAGTAGTGTAAATGAAGTTACCGATCAAAGCCTTACAGCTGCTGCCGGGAAAATGGCGTTAATTGAAACAGACCGAACTAAACCGTGAAAAGACAGCCAACCTTGAGGTCAAAAATTTGACAGAGCAACAAGGTAGAAGTACCACCCCAAATAATTGGGCGGTCTATTTAAAAGTTTAGATGAGTTTGGATGACAACCCGCTTGTAAGAGACAAACCAATGAAAGAAATTGGTATTATAATAGCAATTCCTCGCATTAACCAGTCTAGAACGAACAAACAGGAGAAATTCATTCAACCTCATATATAGTTAATAAACGTTAAACATTATGGCTGGATAATCCGCCACAGGTGATTAACGAAAAGATAATTTCCACAGTCCAAGGTTCAAACGCTTGGAACTGTAATTTGTAAAGGATTCTATGAATCCATTACAATATTTGTATTATATTATTTAAGCAACAGGTAGTTCACACTAATCTAAGTATGGGAATTAGTGTACGTATATGCAATGTAAGTTGCATATGTTACAGTGAGTTAAGTAAAAGTATTTGATTATTTTATTTTATTATTGATTTATTTCTATTTTATATATATTTTAATTATTTACTAAAAAATGTGTTCAAATTGTGCACCTTACATGACACTTATATGGTGAAAAGATCATAAAGCCTAATTCTGCAAAATTAAAGCATGATATATTTGGCTTAAGTTACTTATATCAGTTCTCTTATTTAGAACATTCAATTCAATTCTTAAACACCCTAATGCTTTCGGTTCGTTGGTGTATTATGTAATAGTGGAGAGCTTGTTAACTTTAACTCTAAATATCTCTGACTTATGTATTATGGACATGATCCACTATGGTTCTAAACGCCTCATATATTGGCCTCGGGCGATTTTTGGTTTCTAGTTTCTCTTTCTCTAACTGTTCATGTGATTCCCGTTGGTGACTAGAGTGGTGGTATTTCACAAAGGGCGAATTACGTCGGGGATCCACCTGGGCTAAAATATCTTAATACTTTGATATTCTTACCTCACAAATTCACGAACAACAAATAATACCAATCGAACAGAATGAATGTTCATAACCAAAAGTCCTTATTTATTCTACAAACAATTAAAAAACCAATATTTCCAACTTCTTATGTGACCTATACACACAAATTAGAAATGTTTGGAAAGGTTTTTAAAAATCCCGCTCATTCTGACGTCAGACTTAGGTGGTCCATTCTAGGCTAAATTTGGTTGTCAAGTTGTTAGGGAAATCTAGGGAAATTTTGGCAAAAATTCTAGGGAATTAAAAAATCATTTGGCAACCCTGGACTGAAAATTAGAATTTCCTTTTGTGCAGTGGGCATTTTGGGTTTTAACAAATAGCAAACTGTCTTCTATGGAGTGGATATTGCTGGGAAGATTGCCAGCTGTCTCCCATCCAAAGCTTGTATTAAAGAGTGTGGGGAGATTATGACTTAATTGGATAAGACAGGATTGAAGGAATTTATAAGAAAGCCTGCTCCTGCCAAGACTTCGATCTTTGAGTTTTATTCAAAATTTTTCTTAGCTAGATTGAGATTTTTGGGTATATATTATCGCGGTTGAGGTCAAATTGTGGAAGCGGAAAAATTATTCTTGGGAGGACTGCACAATTCAAATTAAAGTTAAATTTGTGACCGGGTGTATAGAGTATAATCTTCGCTTTTGGTTGTGAAGTAAAGTGTCTTAAGAAATTCCATGAATCCGTAAATTTTGCGAGAAATTTTAGTGTTTAGTATACTAGAGAGATCTTGGTTTGACAATTTAAGAAGTTTGACTTCCGAGATCAAATATAGCTTTAGTTGATACGGAATTGCTTGCGTTGTCTCTTAAAATGACTTGAACAGTGGCTAAAAGAGTTAAAGAATGAGTGGCTGTCATCTTCCAGAGGGTTGTTTGGAAGAGGTGATTACGCATTATTTGCTTTTTCTTCTTCTTCTTGATGTGCCTATCCGTTACGAATGTTGGCGATCATCATGGCAATCTTTATCTTATCTGCAGCAGCGCGGAAAAGCTGCACAGATGTTGTATTGAACCAGATTCTGAGGTTCTTTAACCAAGATGTTCTTCTTCTTCCTGGACCTCGTTTTCCAAATATTTTTCCTTGCAGGATGGCTTGAAGGAGAGCATATCTGGATTCATTTCGCATAATATGTCCGAAGAACTGTAACTTTCGAGATTTGATGGTGGTCAGTACCTCTCGGTTCTTATTCATTCTTCTGAGGACCTCCTCATTTGTGACTCGGTCAGTCCACGGGATCTTAAGCATTCTCCGATATAGCCACATCTCAAATGCTTCCAGTTTTCTGCACATATCTTCGTTCAAGGTCCACGATTCAACACCATAAAAAAGGACAGAGAAGACGTAGAATCGCAGCATTCTTACTTTTGTATCAAGAGAAACGTTGCGACTCTTGAAAAAGGCATCAAATCTGATTGAAAGTGGTTCTAGTTTTTCCGATGCGTGCTGTAATCTCCTGGTTGTTAGTCCATTCTTCATTTATTATGGTGATTATTTGCTTAAGATGAGTTATTGGAAATCGGAACATTTTAAGACTGGTTTGAAAAACCGGGAGAATTTGCTGTTTGTATTTTGATTTGTATTTATTAGATGGGCGATAATAATGATCATGTTTACTTCTGTTATTATCTTGTTGAAAAGGTTGTTTAAAATGATTAGAGTTGGCTGTGCGATAATTATTTGAATGAGATACGTGAGTAGTGCAATATTGTTTTGTGATTTCTGTATAAGAATTTTGATGCAGAAGAGTGTGATGCTTTCTGGAGCATATCGAACAACCTCGAGAAGGGCAATCAGCATGGTTGTGTATTGTACCCAAACAACTGGAAAACATGTGATTTTATTTCAGGAAATTCTATTTTTCAGCATGAGAAAGCAGAGAATTGTCTGTGTGAATAAATTTTGTGAGCTA